AACCGAACCCCGCGCGACACCGCTCTCAGGGTTTCTAGGCCCCCTTGCCTCACGGAGGGAGGGTCCTTGGTGTTTACCCCACAGTTTCGGCCGACTTCCATTTAGAGTGCAAGAACCGGCCTCCGGTTACCTGAAGCTCTCAAGGATCTTCTTTTTCTGGGTCTCTCGGGCTTCTCTGTTGCTGGCTTGCAGCGGCCCCAACGTGTCTGGTGGAGCACGGAGCAACAAATGTGGATGCTCCGTGCTCCGTGGTTCCTTTACCCACCGCGTGCATAGCGTGCCCGACGGCCCCTAGGAACGCGCGAAACATTTCCACCTCTACCCCGACGAGCCTCTCGGGAGCTTCCAAAGACGTTAGCAAAAGTGGAAAAATGAACTGCAAAGGAACGAGAGAGGTAAGGTTCCCGACCGCGCCTAGCGTAAGAGCTAATCATGGCGTACATAGGTGCATGGAAGCGTGGATGCTCGGCGTGGATTCCAGTGGTGGATAACGGAGAAAGAGACTCAACGACTGTGGTTTGTCTACACTACGGGGAAAGAAAAAAGGAAAGCATGGGAAAACTTTTGCAGAATCATATCCACATGAACAAACTTTGTTACAAGGTACGTACGCTTGTCGATTCCCTCCGTTTACTGCCGATAAGACTTCCGTTTTTCTCAGGAATCCTGAACCGGCAGTCAGTGTGCCTGTGGGGGAGCAAGGTGTCCCGCAAGTCGAAGTTGAGAAGATGCGGTGTGATGGGATGAAAAATCGCGAGTCCGTGAGCCTGTCCCTGCTTTTTACAGGCAACCTCTTACAACCAACCTGATCCCTACGAATTCGTCACACAGAAATCTGTACCGACGGGAACCTCACACAGCTTCTCAACCAGGCCAATACTCTGGGGCGGGAATTGACAGCTTCTCACTCTGTGCGGTCCAATAAATCGCGCCAGCAGGTCTGCACTACTGGGGGCAGCACAAACATGGCGAGCCTCGGTTTCCTTCGTTGCTTGGTATTTCCTACTCTGTTCTTGCTTCAGTTTTTAGTGGTACCCATTATCCATTGCTACCTTATCGTTGTGAATTTTCCTCTCCCGTTTCCGACCAAGTGGAAGCTCTGGAGCTCTGGACTCCGAAGCCACCTTACGGTACGGTGCTATGATGCCCGGGCACAGCTCTTGGGCCGTGGTAGCTCCAGCAGTGGAGGACTGTAACCTTTCTGGATATCTCCCTATTGGAGGCCCAAGAAGCATGCCTCTAGGGGAGGCTCTGTCGCTCTTCAACACGTCACTCCATGTTTCTCCAATGGGCAGCAATGAGGCTTACTTAGAGGTATCTATGTACGCACCGCTCCTTTGTGCCTGCAGGTTGTTGTAGACTGCAAGCGCAAGTTAGTGCCAACAGGCAACAGAACCGACAGGCAGCTGTCCTCTTTCTTTCTTTTGCTCTTCTTCGTTTCTTCGTTCCTTCAAGCCTACACCACAAGCAATCTGATATCCTTTACTTTTCTTCTTCTTTATCAAACTCGAGCACTTGGGGCTATTTTATCGCTCCGTCACAACGGAAAGGACCCGATCACCCGAAGCCGCGAGCTACGGTAGCACTCAGAGGCAGGCACCATGGTACACTACAGGTAGTCCGTCCCGCTGTGGTTGGTCCTGGAGCTGTCTTTCAGCTGTGTCCTTCAAATGGATCACATTGGCAGTTCCTCATGTTATCTGCCTTGTTTGATTATCAAGCTTCCAGCTGTACGCTAGAAGCACACAATACTGCAAGGCACCATATGTCAAGTTTGCATCCTGTTCCCGACCAATTAACGAAAAGTTGGCGCATTTTCTAGTGCGAGGTACAACATGTGCCGTACAGTAGTGGTACGAAGTCGCACCTAGACTTGTCGATCACTGGGTCTAGCTATGATTTTGACAGCTGTTGGTCTAAGACATGATCAGTGACACCTCGACCACTTTCCGGGACGGGGCTCACGGAGGACACAACCTTCGAAAAGAAGTTTCCGTAGTCCAACGGTCACACCGCTGCCAATAGCGTACAGGTGGATTTTGGGTGGTGTGACAAAGCCGACCGTCGCCTACGTAACCGACGCCAGTCTAGTATGGGCTCGTTGGTCCTATCTCGAAATCTCGATGATAAAATCCCCTAGCTGACATGGACGAGGCAGACGGACTAGGCACCACTGAGACATGAGGCCGTGCGTGGAGCCTCCGTCCGGGCCGGTCTAGGGCATCCGTCGTCTTACAGCAAGAAAATAAAACCAGCCCTAGGAGCTACTGTACCAGGTAACCAGAACAAGGGGACTGACCGCTGCAGACCGACAATTGGAAATAAGGAAATCCGAGCCGATTGTCATGGGGATGGATTACCGAAGGACTCGGTTTCCCATCTGCTTTGGTGTTCTCGTCCGAACAGTCTCATTCTGGCCCTGGCCTTCCGAGATTCAGCTCCTACCCTCCTGGTTTAGGATCTGTATGTTATGAGAAAGCCGAACGAAGCGAAAAACCACAAAGACGGGAAAGGAAAGCACGCGGCTCAGGTTCTGTTCCGATTGCCCAACAACTTCAATAAAGGCGGGGCAAGCGCTGAAAGCGACGACCCAAGGCGAAGAAGGAAATCCCTAGCTACGGTACGTAGAGGAGGAATGAATGGATGGATAATTTTTCTCGTTCGGCAGTTCCTCTATTGTTGTCGTCGTATTCCTCTTCCCGCCCGGGGCCCTCCTGCCGAACGTACCGGGGGTGTCTGTTACACGGGACGGCTTCTTCGCAGCGTCAATTGGACAATCTGTCCACTATGTTCAGCTTCCATACATTGCGATCCCGTATAATGTTTTCTGTTCCGTTGTTTGCTTTCTTTTTCTCCTCAGCCGCTCGTTAACTATTCCCGAAGTCGGGACAGATGACAGGTGAAGCCGACATCGACGATGCGAAGATCGTAATGCCGGTGTGATCCCTTGAGATCTGATTGGTCAATTGGCGCCGTTTCTCGAAAGCCGACATTCCATTTGTTCGAACTCATCGCTTCGCTTTGAGTACTTGTCCTCCGTTGTATTGAGGTATCTTGATTCATGCATACCTCTAGATACGAAGACTCGGGCTAAACAGAACACTCGAAGCCCGTCGTACAACCACGAGCAAACAGGAATATATCATATCAAAGCCGTCCTCGATATCATTAACATCCATCAATATACCCCTTCCCCAACCCCCATCGTTGTTACCTGACCACCCTCGTCCCGTCCCAAACTGTGACGCTACTCATCTGACCACCCATCGCTCGGTATTCGGAAACGGCAACCATATACGAAACCAACGCTTTTTTTTTTTTTTTTTTTTTTTTTTTTCCAGCGTGGTATCATTACTTTTAACCGTCACCGAAGAACTAGCCAGCCAGCACCAAAACGGAACTTAAAGTTCAATAGAATAGGGACTTATAAGGTATGTATCCTTGGGGTCGCTTGCTACTACTGAAAGAGGAAACAGAGACCCCTTATGTTTAGTGTGAGCGTGTAACCTTGAGGGGTTCCGAAAACCCAATTAGTACTACATAGCATGATGAGGAGTACATAGAAACGCCGACTTCACGCCAAGGGGCCAATGCGACTCATTCTGTCGCACCATGTATCTCCCAGAGCCCAAGTCGGATATGTAGGGTTTGTTTCGTACAATGTACGTCTATGGAGCTGACGTATACCCCGTTTTAAAATCCCTCTTGCGATCTTCACTGCTATGATGAACTTTGCATTGTTTGGGTTTTAATTCAAGGACACAAGCACGCGCAATAACACGCTACAACGTGCTGTGTTGTTTTCGACACCAGAGTGTATACCTACGATTTATACGTAGGTAGGTACATGAACATGGCCGCTGTCATGGCCACGCGGAACAGAACCACACTGCATACCTATATAATACGTCTCAGGTAGAAACTCTAAAAGTAAGACGTGCATAAGTGAGGCACTTCGATGCTACGTCAGTCCAGAAACACTCAGTGTCTGAGAACAGATATAGGTACACATGCAGCCTATGAAGAAACGTAAGAAGAAGGGGCTAGAGCAGGACTCGACCAAATGACTTGCATGCGTCTATGTTGCAAGGTTTGTGCCATTTGGGTGAATGTGGGTTACGTAGAGCTATGTCATATAAGTTCTACTACTTTTTGAGGCTTTCTTCCTCTACAAAGCACTTGGTAAACGCTTTTCGTTGAGCCTGATGCTTTCCGATATCTCCACTCTAGAGCTGTTTTGTCGGTTGGAATGCACTCCCAAAGTCCAAGTCCCAAGGGTGTTTGAAAGTTTTCGGTAGATGGTATATCTCATGCAGAGAGAGGTATCAGTCGCCGTTTGTGTAATTTAAGTAGAATATTGCGCTGAGTATCAACGCAGTCAGAAATATGTTCTGGTCGATGGCATATACAGTAGGAGTTATCTTTACATTTTTGTCCATTTGATGGATATCTTGTTCTTGTGATGTCGAGGTGGCCAAAGATGCGAGTATAACCCGCTGAACCCCGGGACAATGAGAAACAAAAGATGAGCGGCCCAGGTTCGATACTGATTGTGTAAATTTGTGGAAGCGAAGGGGGAAAATGGAAAATAGCTTTTGTGATGACTGCTCATCCCAACAACACAATGGCTTGCCTAGGTACCTACCTCTATAGATGGCTCAACAAACGGTTAGTTAGTCTAGCGTTTACAGGTAGGTACCTATTCGAGTAAATGATGCATCAGTCGAGGGTACTGAAGAAAGATGAGCCACGAACCTGAAAACGAGCAATTAAAAGTTTGACAGACATTTCTAGGTAGGTATCTTTACGGTGTATAAAGATCATCGGCAGCCAACTCCAGAGAGACCATAATGCCACACATATTCGACCCATTCAATTTAGATCCAGTAACCACAGAAGTATTACATCAAAAGACCTCATCAAATTTACCCTTACACAACCCCAAGACGAACCAGAACCAGAGCAATCTCAAGTTCACTCACTCACTCACTCAACTCAAAATGACCGAAATCACCAAGCAATACGAGCAAGACATCCGCGATTACGCCCAGGTCTCGGAGCCCAAGATCGCCGAGGCCGGCCGGATGGGCGAGTCGATGCTGTGGAAGATTTCGAGCAAGAGTTCGCGAGACAGCCTCATTTCAAGTATTTACTACAAAGTGAAGCGCCTGGCGGATTCCGTTGAGTGGGGCCTGACTATTGATATCCCGAAGGCGAGGGAGGAGCTGGAGAAGGAGATCGCGAGGGCTTCTTAAAACTCTTAAAACGCGGTTTGATGGATGGGAAATCAGGGGCAGCCAAACAAAGGTGATAAGGAGTGGCTGGCAGAATGAAGGGATATATATGGTGTCAGGAAATGGGTGAGTGGGTGGTTTGCATACCTGGTGGAAAGTTTGAACGCTGGGAAACCTTGGCAGGCAGATGGAAGACTCGATATGTATCGTACATCCCATACTTGATGGTCACTTCTTCTTGTTGCTTTTGCGTAAGTACCTTAGTATTCGGCAAGCTAACAGATAGCATTGAAGTGAGAGAGAAAAATAAAAGTAAAACAAACAGGACGGACAATACATAGAAACAAGCTGAGCTGGCCAAATGATTAGATATTGCTAGCATGAGCAACCCGTGAAAAGTATGATTTCAAAAGAAAAGGGGGTATCTCCATCACGACGAAACTCAAAATACCGCCACCCACCCACGCCGAATCGTGTCTTCCAACCAAGCCAGATAGACACTCACTCTTCAACCTTGATAAAGCAATTCCTTTTGGCCTCCAACTTCTCGAACCCCCCGAAACTGATATCATACAAACGCACAACTCACCAAACCCACCCCATGCTTTCCAAAAACACAACTCCCTTCCCCTCACGTAGCACTCACTCCCTGATTCAACCTCCTATTCACTCTCCCTATATCAGCCATCACCACCCCCCTACGCCTTTTCACCGAGCTGATCGCTATCATCGCGTTCACGCCTATCAATAACCTCACTCGAGCTCTCTATCTCCGTCTCAACTCTCACCATCACCCTGCCACGTGGTGGTGCGTGTCCCAGCGGGTGTCCCAACGCCGTCCCAATTTGTTGTTGTTCAGGCTGACTGTGGGAAGTGGTGGAAGCAAAGGAAGCTTCGCCCATAGCGACGCTATATGGTGGCGGCGGCGAAAGCTGAGGTCCTGTTGAGCGAGAAGAGTGGGAAATGGTTTGGTGTATGACTGCAGAGTCTTGTGTGTGAGCACCAGGGTAATGGTCCTCTTTGTTGTTTTTCTCCTTCTGGGAAGACCACACGCGTGTGTCGACTCCTAGAGTGGTGTTCTTGTGGTCGGAAGCAAAGGGACTCCATGGTGCTGCTGACTTTAGTGGTGGTACTGTTGACACACCACCATTGGCTGTGCTATCTTGGGTATCGGATTCTTTCTTTTTTTGTTTCTTTCTCGATGACCGGTGTCGTTCCTCCTGTGGTGGATGTCTTGAGGATACCCCTGTAGGTGTTGGAAGTGGGGGAAGAGGGCAGTTGGGTGAATTCGAAGGTGGCAAGTGTGGTGTGGACGAGCCGCTGAGCGCGGTGTAGCCTGCAGAAAGCCTGTTGAAACTCGCTCGTTTCTGCTTTCCTTCGGTCTTATTGTCTTGGTCCGCGTGCAAGGAGGGTATGTAGATGGGCGATAGTGGCATTGGTAGTTTGATTGGGACATGGAAGGCATTCGGTCGAAGATACCATGGGTTGCGCGCTGGAGGAGTCAGATCGTCCGACAGATCAGGCCAGGGGTTGTTGTTGTTGAGTTGCGCTGGGGGTGAGGACTGGGGAGGCCACAAGTCTGGGAATTCCTTTCTGAGCTCGTCGTATGGGGAAGATGGATTGGTATGGGAGCTTTCACCCCCTGTCGGCGCAGGGTTTAACCGGGTCGTGAGAGGGATGTTCTCGGTAATAGGGAGAATAGAGGTATCGTGTACGCTGAAGATGTCATTCAATTGGTCGTTAGCATATGTGATGAATATTTTTGGAAAGCTCACGAGTCACATACCTTGCCACTGTACCACGTTTGCTGTTCTTTGTCATAGATGACCACCATGATTTCGAGCTTGTTTGGGTGCTAAGCTCAGAAGGTGGTTCAGAGTCGTCGGGGTCGTATTCTTGATACAGCTTGGGCCATATCTTTCCAAAACCAAGGAAAACTAGAACCAAACGGTACTGATTGTATGCCTCAACAGTTGTGCCGAAGGTGATGCAAATGGCTACCGCGTTCACCACTGGAATGTAATTGGTAAGGACCTCGGTGACTTGCATTTTTTCTGTCGTTGTGAACGAGACAAAGTTGATGTGGGCGTGAATGCGATCGAGGTCGAACGGCAGCGACCACGGCCAACCCTGAGCGATATTGAAGGCGAAGAAGACACAAACCAGCGGTACAACCAACACGAGGATAGAGAGGGTGAGAAAGTAGAGCTTTCTCCTAAGGCGTTTTTGTCTCGCGGTTCGTATACTGTCATTACTCGGGATGGCTTCGCGTGTGAGTTTCTCCAACTGCCGGTACTTGTAAAAACAAACTCCTGTATATGAGGTAAGCGATGACGAAACATGCCACGGACTCGGCTTCGTATCTTACCTGCCAAGCCTGCCGCACCAACCGTGAAGATTGGAGATGGGAGGATGAAGAAAACCAAGAAGACGCCATTGGGGTCGAAAACTGGATTGCAGCCGGCAAGAGTTGACACATTGTATCGTTGAAGAATGACGAAGTAAGTGAGCAAGACTTGTACGACCGGATTGCCGAAGATGATAAGGGCCGAGATTCGATCTTTGCGTTTCTTTTCCTTGGGACTAAGGCTGGTCACTCGCGGGTTACCGATCTTGTTGGCAAGACCGAGCATGATATCGAAGAGAGTGGTGTGAGAGATGGTTTCAACGGCGAAGAAGATGTAAGTATGGAAGTCGCACCACCCATAGCCGGCATACCACTTCTTGACATTGTTGTCTCGCCATATGAGCGAGTTGACGACGTAAAAGAAGTTGAGCGCGACTGTTGACAAGCAATGGACCGTGGCCCCGAATTCGCCGTTAGTCCATAATAGCTTTGCAGGAACGAGAGGAATCAAGATCCCGAGGAGTCCCAGAAAAACCCTGAAGAATAGGTTGACTTGGAGACCAATATCGGTGTAAGGAGGGGGAGGGCCATTTCGTTCTTGGGGCCCGGTGGTGTAGAAAGTGTTGTTCATCTTGGGCCTTTCTCCCCAGAGGCCTAGGGGAAGGGTTGTTTGTGTCTTTGTCGATGCACGAGTGATACAGGGACTTATAAAGTCGGGCGGTGACTGACGTGACGGGGCAGCAGATGAGGGCTGGCATCAAAGGGGCGACGACAAAGGGAGGATGGCGACGATATCAGCGTTGAACACAAGTGGAAAGTAAAAGACTGGGATTACAGTGAGAGCAGGAGCTTTAAGAAAGGCATGACACCGACGATGGCGAAGATGTAGTCGGGTCGTGGCATGATTTATTGGTCTATTCAGCGATGGTTGCGTATAGAGGATATTTGTGAATGGGAAAAAGATGGGATGTCTCAACCGCGCTGGTGGAGCGAAGGGGAGATCCAAAAGCAATAAAGTTTTGGTGTAAGTGATGAATGAGCCTGCCATCCGATATCTGCCATACAGTGGTGTATTCAAATTGGGGCCCTTATTGAAGCTCTATTCAGACCCGAAAAGGGTTTAGTGCGGGCCTCAACCAAAGATGGGAAGAAAGAACGTGTGAGTTGTCGCAGGCTCATTTTCCTGAATGCAAACTTACCACCGCACTCGTTGGGAAAAGGAGAGTAGTTGCCATTTGCCATTTGCCATTGGCGTGGTGGAATTGGCCGAATCGATCCTCTTGGTGTAACTTCTTTCAATGCCGTTGAGTGTAACCCGAGATCCTCAGCTTGCCGGTGGTACGTAGTACAGGCCGGTACAAAGCACGTGGTGACCGAGGGCGCTTCGGGATTTGGCTGTTGACGCCCGGTACCGGAAAGCTGGGTGGCTTCCGGTAGGTACCAGTAACCGGTTGACTGTTTCCGGTCTTTCCACTAGGTAGTTGCTATCGTCCTTGGAGGGTCGGAGATGAAGATCAGGTTGCCGTGGATTGTGATGTGTCAACCACCAAGGGAGGCAAAGATAGTAACTGGTGATGAGTGATGTCTACAGCAAGGCCCGATGAGGCAGTCAGTCGACTCAATGGATCCAATTTCGGAAATCGACATGAGACTTCCGAAGGATTATGGACGTCTTGGAGCTCGCGTTGGAAGAAGAAATTCCCATCATTTAATGGTCATGGTTGGTGTGACGAAGAAATGGATGATGAGAAAAGGGAAAATCGCACTTTGCTGGAAGTAAGTTTGTAGGATGTTAAGTTCAAGCGCACGTTACTAACTAACGGTGTCGTCTGCAGCACGCAAGTTGAATGTAAGTTTAATGTGGGGCACCAAGTTGAATAGACGCCGTGGGTGTGAAAATAGACCACCGCTAACAAACCTGGCAGATGGAGATCTTATCTTATCGGACCCCATGCAACCCGGACGCGCGACATGTGCCCGCATTGAGGAATCAAAAGCGGAACTGAATTTGGGACGCGACGAATTGAAACGCCTGGAAGCTACCTTAGCTCGGAACGCCTCTGGAGAAACTAAGCTAAAGTCAACTTTGTAAACATTCCAAACTCGTTTCTCCAAGTCGGCTCCAACAGCTTCAACATTCCCCATCCAACCACCGCAACCAGCCAAACCGTCAAACATGTCTGCCTTCCTCCGCCCCGTCTTTGGCGCCGCCGCCCGCCCGGCCGTCCGCTCTTTCAGCTCTACCTCCGCCCGCGGCATTGCTCGCGTCCAGATCATTGGCAACCTCGCCGACACCCCCGAGCTCCGTGCTACCAGCACCGGCCGTGAGATGCTTAGGTATGCTGTCGCCAGCAACTCGGGTCCCCGCAACGACCGCGTCACCAGCTGGTTCAATGTCAGCTGTTTCGCCGAGGGCAAGCTGCGCGACTTCCTGCTGACCCTCCCCAAGGGGTGCGTAACCCCCGTCTGAACTTTAGCCAATGAACAATAAAACTGACTGCTAGACAGAACCACCGTCTTCGTCGAGGGCGAGCTTTCCCTGAGGGCCTGGACCGACGAGGAGGGCCGCAGCAAGACCGCCGTCAACGTTCTTCACCGTATGTTACATGACCACCAATGCGCCGTTCCATTTCACATGTGCGCATTGCTAACCAACAACAACAATAACTACAGGCAACCTCGAGGTCCTCCGCCGTCCCTACAGCGCTCCCAGAGAGACCCCCGAGGCCGAGGCTGAGACCGAGGGTGAGCACCAGGAGCACCAGGAGCACCAGGAGCACCAGCAGTAAAGTTGAGCTGAGCTGAGCTTGGCATATGACCAATTGCTGGTTGCTGCTCGCCGCTGGCTTTGATACTCTTCCTGTTGGGTTCACGACTGGGCTTTATGGAGTCTGGTCGTTGTACGATGGGGCCATGTACGCCAAATATGACAGTTTGATTACGGATTACGAACTTGTGGTTCCAGCAGGACGCTTTGCGTAGCTTTGCGAAGCTGACCTCTCCTCTTTCCTTTTATACCCATGTACCACCATCTACCTCTACCCCTCTGCTAGGAATTGCAGAACTTTGGGTGTATCGTATGTTTATCAAAAGTTGATGCTGTGATACCTTGGTACCTCTCACCATCGCGTGTTCATGTGAAAAGTGATGCTGATGCGTTTGTTTGGTCTCGATCGGAGATGTGGGGTTCTTTACGCTTAGCTTCCCGGCAGTAACAGCCCAACAAACAGACGAACGCTACTACTACTGTGTAGACAGACCCCCGCGGCGTGGTGTCGGATATTAATCCTGGTCCACTTTTTTTTTCCTGTCAGTGCCGCCGCGGCAGTGTCGCATGCGATCGCACAAGTCGCACATTCCATGTTTCCCCATCCATGTTCATTGTCTTTCGTCCTTTCGCCTCCATCGCTTCCATGCGATCCCCGCAACCTCAGCCATGTCGAAACTCCTGATCTCTAGGAGCCTTGGCCGGCCCCTTCGACGGCCGGCCTACCAGTTCTGGAGCACCAGCATCATCAAGACGAGGACCTTTGCGACGGTCGAATCCGATGCGAGGTGAGCACCCACTTGACCACCCAGTCGACAACAAAAACACCGCCGCACCGCCATCCAGTCCGAAACCCCCCACAAAATACGAATGTCTAACCCGTCCTTCCCATATCTTTCAGGCCCTTCGATGTCGTCGTTATTGGCGGAGGCCACGCTGGATCCGAGGCATGCGCCGCAGCTGCCCGCGCTGGCGCGAGGACGGCGTTAGTGACTCCCAGCGTCGAGAACCTCGGTGTCTGTTCCTGCAACCCTAGTTTCGGCGGTATCGGCAAAGGTATCATGATCCGCGAGATCGATGCTCTCGAAGGCCTCGCTGGCCGTATCATTGACAAGGCTGGTGTTCAGTTTCGAGTCCTCAACAGCAAGAAGGGCCCCGCCGTTTGGGGTCCTCGCGCCCAAATCGACCGAGCGCTATACAAAAAGCACATGCGCGCCGAGCTCGAATCGTACCCCAACCTCTCCCTGGTTTACAACAGCGTATCCGACATTGTCGTCTCGGAAAACGATGATCCTTCCACCGGAGCGAAAACCAAAATCACTGGCGTCAGGTTGGAGTCGGGCGAGGTCTTACCAACAAGCCAGGTCATCATCACCACAGGCACATTCCTCGGCGGCGAGATTCACATTGGTATGGAAGCCTATCCCTCGGGCCGCATGGGTGAGAAGGCAACTTTTGGTCTCAGCAAGTCGCTTAGGGAGGCTGGATTCAAGCTCGGGCGGTTGAAGACAGGAACGCCACCCCGGTTAGACAAGAAGAGCATCAACTTCGGCGTTCTTGAAGAGCAGTACGGTGATGACCCGCCGAGGCCGTTCAGTTACCTAAACGACGCTGTCACTGTCAAGGACCAGCTTCACTGCTGGGCCACCTACACCAATCACGCGACACACGAGATTGTGCGTCAAAACCTCGACAAGACGATTCATATCCGCGAGACGGTCAAGGGACCTCGGTATTGCCCCTCGCTCGAGGCCAAGATCATCCGTTTCAGTGACAAGCAGCGCCATCTTGTATGGCTGGAACCCGAAGGCTTCGACAACGACATCATCTACCCGAACGGCCTAAGCATGACTGTGCCCGCTGAGGCCCAGCTGGCACTGCTCCGCACTATTCCTGGTCTGGAGGATGTCATCATGACCCAGCCCGGTTACGGTGTCGAGTACGATTATGTCGACCCCCGCAGCCTGAAGCGCACTCTAGAGACCAAGGCTATCCGTGGCCTGTGGCTCGCCGGCCAGATCAACGGCACCACCGGTTATGAAGAAGCGGCCGGTCAGGGTATTGTAGCCGGCATCAACGCCGGCCGCGCCGCTATCGGTCGCGAACCCGTCACCCTTTCGCGTGCCGACGGTTACATCGGCGTCATGATCGACGACCTCATCACCAAGGGCGTCTCGGAGCCCTACCGCATGTTCACCTCGCGCAGCGAGTTCCGTATGACCACGCGGTCCGACAACGCCGACTCCCGCCTCACCGCCCTCGGCCGCAGCTGGGGCGTCGTCGGCGACCGGCGCTGGAGCCATTTCCAGACCGAGAACGGCCAGATGGCCGAGCTGCGCCGTATCCTCAGCGAAACCATCCTGTCCCCGCAAGCCTGGGCAAATGCCGGCTTCGACGTCAAGGCCGACACCCGTAAGCGCAGCGCATTCGAACTCCTCTGCTTCAAGGGCGTGTCGATGGAGAAGCTCCACGAGAGCGGCGTCGTGCCCAAGCTGATGGACTTCTCGGAACGCGTGCGCGAGCGGACCTTTATCGAGGGGTTGTATGCGCCCCAGATCGATAAGCACGCGTTAGAGCGTGCCAAGCTAGAGCGCGAGGAGGATCTGAGGCTGCCGCTTGATTTGGATTATGACGCGATTATCAACCTCTCCCTGGCTGAGAAGGGCGTGCTGAAGGCGACCAGGCCTGAGAGTCTGGCGCAGGCGAGGAGGATAGAGGGTATGACACCCGCGGGCTGCATGCGGTTGCTTGCGCACGTGAAGAGGAGGAATGGGGAGCTCAAGACCGGTTACAGGCTTGGAGGTTTCAAGGAGATTGCAGCCCAGTTGGAGAATGGGACAGCTGAAGCAGACCTTGACGCTGTTGGTGATGCGTTGACTGCTGCTGATGGTGATATGGAGACTGTGGACGCCAAGGCGAGGGCTGCTGATCTCTGATCTTCTGATCAGTCGGCCTAGGTGATGGAATATTTCACGATTGTGGTGGAAAAGGTGTTTGGTGTAACGATAGCATTTCAAGAAAAAGCGTAGCATATACTGGGTTGGGAAGGTTGGTTTGATTTTTGGAGTAGAAATTTGTCAATATGTATAATACCTGGTATATAGAACATTGAGCCATATCAATTGGATGAAATCATTGACATGATCATTCTCTGTTGTTCTTCCGTCGAAACAGATTGAAGTGCCTCGATTTAGACCAAATACCTTGGGACGTGCATGCTCAACTCGATGTTACTTTTTTGAGCACGTTCGAAAAGGGTGTGAAATTCATCAGCAGGGCGACGATCCAGATGCGCGTGGTTTCCCCTGAAGCGCACAGGAATGAGAAGGCCACAAACATCGGGCTCCTACCGCTACATTGAATGGATTATTGCTGCTTGGTAGTTTCATCCTTCACCTTCTTCGCTTCCGCCTCCGCCTCGTCAACCACCTCCTCGGCGCTACCCTCCTCCTTCTCAGCAGCCTTGGGAGTAGGTTGCGTAAGAATCTTGACAGCATCCTTGCTATACACATAGCTAGCACCACTCCAGATCGTTGTAGCAGCAACGGTGTACCTATTTGACCGGCGTATGTCAGTAAATCTTTCTTCCTACCAAAACAT